CCTACCTTTTTCAGATGGAGAACTCATGAAAACCAGTATAATCAAAGCTGTGCAATGCTTTGGAATTTATTTCATAGTGATTCTGAGAAAAATCTGCTTTAAAAAGTGGCAAAGTGCTATTTTTGCATCCCTACATGCTCCAAAGCGCTGCACAGCCCTAGCATATGTCTAAAATATCAAAACCAAAGAAGGCCTCATAAACTAAGGAAAAATAGCAAAAATTCTAGATGTGCCTAAAAGCATGAGAGCCCCACCTACTTTACAACATTGCCATGCCCACTGCAGTCTTTATCCTCCTGAGAAGTATTAGCAAATGAAATCTTTGCTTTGCTATGTGAGGACCAAGAAATGGATTTTCAACATTTTAATTATTTTAGCGGCATGCTGTTACAGTCTGTTATAGATAGATAACATTTTAGTGATTTATTTAAGAAGAAATTATAAGTGATATATTTAGGACTTCTGAAACCAGATTCACAACCATTGAATCATGATGAAAGGAATTTTAGAGGATTGACTCACTCTGCCTTTTAGTTTTGATCATAAACAATTAATTGATACATATTTGCAGTATACTGGTGTAGGCTTTCACGGCTGACATCAATGGAGTAGTGATGAGGGGCTGAATGGCCATGATCTAGTTTTCTTTTGTCCTGACGTTTCACCAGCAGCTGTGGCTGGCATCTTCAGAAGCAGAGTGAGCTGCTTTGTAGTTTACCTCTGGGTTGCTCATAGGCAACTGAATGATAACGGACTGTGAGAATAACCTTGAGGAACAGGAGGAAGAGCCGCAACCAAGACAATAGTCGGATAAGAAATCTGAATCCAAAGCAGAAATGTAATTTGAGAAAATGTCTGGCTTGACCCTCCCTAGTTCTCTTGTAGATGGGGGGGGCACTTTGATACTTGCAAGATTCTATTACTGTAACCCTATAATAAAAGTAGTTTTAGTATTCATAACTTTGATTTCCAACTCTGGCCTACCTTGAAGGCTGCCATGAACTGGGCTGATTGGGCTCTTGTATTTAAACCTGACAAGGTGATCTCTGGCTGGTCCATGTCATAGGAGTCCAAGAAAACTGGTTCCTGAGTCCAAGAAAACTGGTTCCTCTTCTAGCTAGAACTCCAACTGGTCCATTTTGAAGAAATTCGAAGAGAACCAGTTCCTGATTAGACTGTCTGTTGATATTAATACCACTATTTTAATTTGTGATTTTGGAATTGTGGTCAGTTGAAGCAAAGTATTATTGCCAAACACACACACACACACACACACACACACACACCAGCAGCAGAAAAAGTGGATTAGGTCACCTGCACCTAAACTGAATGCTGTTTCAGGCATGCTGGTAAGAGAACAACTTTCCCAGAGAGAGATATACATGGCTCAATTTTCATAGTATTTTAGCACCAGGCAACAAATCTGTTCTTCACAGGGCTTTCTAAATAGTTATTTTGGTCATGTTGTAAATTTGAAATACATTTTGTATCATTTTATTTACGTTCTTATTCTTGCACATGTGTTACCAAATAAGTCTTACTATGATGCAAGTATACAAATTTAGTAATAATAAGATGGGAGAAAGGTACTGTGTCAAGAAGGCTGGCAAATAACAATTCTTTTGTACCAATTTACCAACCCTCCCAGAATTACTGGGCAGCCAGGGATAGGGCAAAGAGAAGGGAGAGCCACTTTCTCCTCCTTAATTTCTCCAGCTCCACCTTCATTGTCCCTCTCGTACAGATTTCTCCAGTTTGAATGGGGAATTTACAAACTCTTGCCTGGCTAGGGATTTTGGAAGTTGGAGTCCAATATATTTAGAGGGCACCGAGTTGTGGAAGAGCAGCTGAAATCTGTTGAAGTGTGTAAATTGTGTGAAAGCTACCATAAAGTCAATGTTGGGACAAAGGAGGATAGCCATCTCTAGGAAGAAAAAGGGACCAGTAAAAATAAATTAGCATTTCATTGCTGTTAAAATTCTGGAATATTTCCAGCCAGAACAGGGACAAGCACTTCAGAAGCTTGGTTTGTTATGGTAAGCCTTGCAATATTTATAATTTTATTTCAAACACTGGCAGACAATGGTATGTTGTTTTTGTAATACTCTAATTTCATTCTCTCTGGAGTTTCCTATTTCAGGGGCACTGTGTAAAAAGTTTTTTGAGGTAATCTTGGCAGAATCAAAATAGAAATGCAGCATCCTTTCATTATTCTTCTCACAATTTGTAGTAATAGGTTATTATAATTTCTATTGCTTTTTTCCCCTTTTTTCTTTTTATTTTCACTTTATTGCTTTCAACTTTTAAAAACAATTGTAGAATAAAAGACCAAGAGTTAAATGTTTGTAGTTTTCTCTACTTTTTAAGATTCTGTTGGCTATATAGATTTTTCTATATCAGACTTAAAATAATAGCAGAGACTTCCTTACAAAAGGGATATACTGTACATTACTCTTACTACTTACAATTCATCTTCACCTTCTCCATCACATTTTAATAGTTTTTCAGATACATTAAAGTTGGAATCATTGGTAATATCTGGTAGGTTGTTTGCCTGAACCACTAACCCAAAGTAAATATGTTAGCTCAGGGAAAGGTTAATTTAGTAAAAATAAAGACAGATTTCCTACTTGGAAACTCTTTAGTTCAGGGGGAAAAATCAAAATCATAGATGCACTGTTCCATAGACACATATACATCTAGAAAAAAATCACATACTTTGATTTAAATTTGAACACAGTGAAATTAAACAAGTTGGTTTTATCCAAAATGGCTATCTACTAGGCATTCAGTATGTTTTTTTATACCAGTGGTTACTGTGTATAATTGTCAGTTGTAAAGAAAACAAACTATAGCCACAAAGTAGGAAAAAATTACAACTATTGCTGTTACCTGTCTATTTTTAGCTATTGTTTATGCTGCTGTTAATATGCAGATATTTTAGAAAGTAACTCTGGGAGCTTCTGTTGAAAAATGCAGTGCTCTATCCAAGTGGTTTGTTGTCTTAAAAAGGTGAGGGAAGATCAGCTGGTTAGACAGAAAGGGAGGTAGGCTCCCTTATGGTTCCAAGTAGCCCTTCAAATAGTCACATGTCATTTGTTATGACTTACATGGGATTCCTAATATTAAGGATCAACTTAAAGAATTATTTGCAGATGTTCAGATTTTTTTCTTCTTCTTCACTCCCATTTTTTCTCCTTTAATTCTTTGTTCATTAATCTAAAGCTTCTCTCTTACAGCAATAAGCGTTAGTTTTTTATAGAGACTGTTACCTTTTCAAGAGACTTAAGAGACTTTATCACCTTTAAGAGTCTTAAAATATTCTACACAAAAGGGACAACCTTTCTCTCTGATATAACCATGTTTAATATGGCATGGCAAAGTCTAAAGCTGTAATATTTTTCAGCTTTACATTTAGATCACTTGTTTCTGTGTTCTGGTTTAAAAGGTCATTTAGGAGTTATATTATTCAGGCATAAGAAAAAAAATAGCAAAAACTTGCAGTCTACAACACCAATTTACAACATCCAGAAGATAATTATTTTAAAAAGTGAAGAAATACTGCATTTTGCTTTTTTTTCTACAAGAAACAGTATAAACAATTAACTGGTTACTTCTGAAATTATTTTAATTGGACCTATATTTTTACTTCACAGAGGGACTTTTCTTGTGTTGTATTTGATTTATTCTAACAAAATATTTTTCTTTAAGAAGATGCTTTTAATATATATCTATTGCTTATTGTATTTTGAGCTGAAAATATTGGTGTATAATAAACTTTATTTTTCTATAAGTACTGTGGTTTTATTTAACTACAGAGGATGAATGCTAGTTGAGACCTTCTCTTAGACTGCATATTTTCAGGAAAAAACCAGCAAAATCATATTTTATATGCATATTTTTTCACCATATTTTATTTGGTGAAAACAGAAAATGAACATAATTCCATATCCACATTGTTCAGTGTGATGTGGACCTAATATTCCAGAGGAGGCAATTGATTAATTTAAAAAATGTAATAACATGTATTAAATGTTTAAAAAAATCTTGGATATGGATTTTGTAAAAAAGGATTGATAGGCTAATTTACAAGAAGTAGTTGTCTGTAAAGAAAAAAAAGCACCACAAGTAGTTTTAAATAGATGATCAAATAAGACAAAAATTGTTCAAAGTCCATGGGAGCAATAACAGCAAAATGTTGCCTATTGATCATAAACTGCTTTCTAGTTCTTCCAGCAGTCTGCTTCTATATACTGCCACTTCAAACATCATGTTCTGGTTCTATCAATATGCTTAACCATGTTCTAAGGTACAGCTTTCAAATTAAGCAGGAGGCAAAATGCACATGTAAATCACAAATCATGGCTGGTCAAATCTGAATTTTGGTTTCGTTCATTTCCTTATATTCATGATCCAAAGTTGATTTAGTCTAGTTTTGTATGAATTTAAAATTTTACAAAAACTGGACTACAATTTACTTATACTTTTGTTCACATTTCTCTTAACATAATTTTAGCTAATTTGATTAATTTTATCTACTCTGCATGGGAGGTTCCAAGAATTTTCCCTAATTAATGCATATTGGTATAAAATGTCTTTACATGCATTTTTGTACAAACATTTTCCCTAATATATGTTTTTTTAAAAAAAAATATTGGAGAACTGCATTGAAAAATTCAAAGGAATGAAAAGTTCAAAGAATGTTTGTATTTCATGCTATACAGTAT